GACCTGGAGAAGGGGTGAATCATTCTGCGATTATTACCACGACAAGATGATTCTGGCCAACCGCATACCGATCGCGGAGGACGAGATAGTGGATTATTTGATTGAGGGAGTGGTGGATCAGCGATTACAGAATCAGGCCCGATTAATGAATTACCGGACGGGAACTGAGCTATTGAAGGCGTTCGAAAAAATCCAGCTGGATCCGGGGCGGTCGAGCGGCGTCGGGGTGAGGAGGGACGGAGCGAGAGCAACTGGCGATGGGAGGACGGAGATGTCGACGGTGAGAAGGGGACCGATGAAATGTTATAGGTGCCAGGAGACGGGGCACATGGCGATGCAGTGCGGACGGGCGATGGTGAGGTCGTGTTTCGCGTGTGGATCAGCGGAGCATATAGCGAGGGACTGCCCGAAGCGGAGTCAGCCCCCAACGACGGAGACGGCGAGAGACCTTGCGCGGGCGACGTCCACGAACGTGGTACAACCTGTCGAGGTGCCGAAGCCTTACATGGCTCGTGTGAAGATTTCGCCGGAAAATACGATTAACGGATCGTGTTGTTACGTTGTTGACGCGCTGGTCGACTCGGGCTCGCCGATTAGTCTCGTGCGGAGCGATGTGATCCCGGGTGAGTCACATCTGCTGGAGGAAGAGGAATCCCGTCAGTTTTGCGGGATTAACGGCTCGAGATTAAAAATCGATGGGGTATTCCGCGGTGTTTTGGAAGTAAATGGCGTGCGTGTTGAGATAAAATTTTATACGGTACCAAGCGATACGATGGCGTACGATGTTCTGTTGGGAAGAGATTTTTTAAATTGCCCGCATTTACGCGTTACATTCGGGAAAACTCTCGAGGTCGCAGGGGTCGAGGAGGCGCGCGCGATTGACCAGTTATTACATATCGAATACAGCGATGACTTTGCTCGAACTTGCGACGAGTTGAAAGTGAATCCGGCTGTAGGGGAAGATGTGTCCGCGCGAATCCGCGAAGCGTATTCGCGTTACCTGGCGAATGTTCGAGAGGGAAGTTTTGCGCCCGAATTTGAAATGGTTATTGCGCTTAATCACGAACAGCCCATAAGTTCGCGTCCACGTAGATTGTCTTTTGCAGATAAAGAGGTTTTGCGTAAGATTTTAGACGAGCTCTTAGAAAAGGGAATTATTCGACCGAGCTGTTCACCATATGCAAGCCCGATTGTCTTGGTAAAAAAGAAGGATGGCGGTTACCGACTATGTGTGGACTTTCGTGAATTAAATAAGATTACCATACGCGACAATTTCCCACCGGAACGGATCGACGATAATATCGATAGCTTGCGGGGTAAGAAATACTTTACTAGTTTAGATTTGAAGGACGGATATTACCACATGAAAGTACACGAGCCGTCGATAAAGTATACGTCCTTCGTGACGCCCCTGGGCCTGGAATTCGACACGTAAAGACTCTTTAGTTCATATCAATTTGTTTTACGTTGGCATATTTTTAGAAAGAATTACATACAATAAAGACGAAATTTTCTTAAAAAGAACTCTCTTTCTATCGCTCACGTACTCAAGAATTCTCGTCATACCTGCTGTGTTTGTCAATACTTTTTAAACAACAATAGACAAATAATTTTTATATGTTTAAAGGTAATATTTTTTTGTATTTTTTAATGGCAAATATGTGTTTATAGATTGATATATTCATAAAAATTTATAAAAACAAGTAACTTAATGGAATTAATCTTTAAAGTATAGTACTTTTTCTTTTAATATATGATATTTTTCTCATTGCTTTATACACAGTTAAAGAACTCTTTAACAGTAAAAAGATACTTAAAAAAATAGTTTGTAATATAGTTATGTATACATGTAAAATATAAGATATTGAATTAAATAAAAAATTTTAATATTTTTAAACATTTGTTAGCATAGATAATTATAAAAAATAATAAACATTTTTAATTAACATGCTAGATCTTAACAGTCTAGATTTTTTAAAACAAAGTCTTTCAACAAATAAATACAAAAAATTAGAAAACAATATATTCTAAAAGTTACTAATAAAAAATTAAAAACACCTTAATAATAATAATGTTAAAAATGTTTTGCAGCAGAAGAAGAAAAACAAAGAAAACGTCATTGACGCCCAACATCGCCCAATTCATCAAGTTCTTCACAAAGTAGCAATGATTCAAATTCCAGTGAATCATTATCGGATAGTGATTAAGTTTAGTGTTACCATATTACCAATGTTAAAATGAGTTAACCTTGTTAACGTTACCATAACATATATCTAAGTTGTCTATGTTATATATGCTATTTATTTTATTATATTATTATATATTGATATACTCACTTATATACTTATATACTTATATACTTATACTTATATACTTATACTTATGCACTTTTATACTCACTTATATACTTAAAAAGTTGACTTATAAAAATAAAATTATAGACAATATAATTAATATACAGTATTGATTTTTTATTTAGAACCACTTATTTTGCTTAAATCATGTTTTACATGCAGAAGTTACGACGAAGAAGCAATTAAACAAACTTTGTAGTTTTTATATAACTTTATCCAGATTAAAAAAAAAATGTGTTTCCCAGCATTACGTAATTTTTTAAATTGCGTGATTTTTAAAATCACGTACCGATTTGGAACAATCGGTTACGTGATTAATTATGTCATTGATTACGTAATTTCGTTACGTGATTTCGTGATGTAATTTCATGACGTGATTTCGTGACGTGATTTTTTTCAGTAGGGTATGCGAATGCTTCCAACGGTAACGGTTTAGTCATGATATCATCTAAGTTTTCTCTAGTTTCTATCCATCTAACTTCTACTTTCCCTTGATTTGCACATTGTTTTACAAAATCTCCATGAGTATCTGCCATGTGCTTTCGGTTTCCAGTATCTTCTCTTTCTTTTAAGTTTCTCTTTACTTTCTCTAGTTCATCATCAAACATCTTAAGTTTGTGACTTCCATCTTTCTTAATGCAGTTTCCTGCAGCTCTATTATCACACCATATTACTGACGGAAAGAATATTTCTCCAACAACATGTCTGAGTGACTTGTCCAGTGAAATCACTTCTTGACATGCCTCACTCATTGCTAAGTATTCCGCTTGACATGTAGAGAGTGTGACATAAGTCTGTTTATGACTTCTCCATGCTATCACATCTTCAAATAGCTTGATAATATATCCTCCAGTAGATGTAGAATCAGTACAATCCCTGAAACTTGCATCTGTCAATGCTTCTAGCTCGTTTGTTCTTCCTCTAAATATCAGTCCTCTATTTACCGTTTCTTTCAGATATCTAAATACTCTTTTCACATCTTGCCAATCTTCTTCTGTAGGCTTTAATTGTTTTTTTGCCAGGTAATTTACTGCAAATGCTATGTCAGGTCTTGTAGCGTTTTCTAAATACATCAAACTTTCAATAGCTTCTCTATAAGGCACTCTTTTGATTTCTTCTTTTTGGATCACATCTTCATTGTTCGATTCTTCTAATCTGCTCTTTTTATTTTTATTGCTTACTTGTCTAGTGACCATAGGAGTACTTTGCGGTTTACATTCCTCCATATGGAACTTTTTCAGCACACTTTCTGTATATCGTGCTTGATGGATATTCATATATTTGTCTTCTTTATTTCTCTCTATTGTGATTCTTAAGAAGCTCTTTGGTTCTCCAAGATCCTTAGTCTCAAATGTTTCATCTAATTTGCCTTTAATTTCCTCTAATTTCTCTAAGTCATTACTTGCGACCAGCATGTCATCCACATAAAGCAGTAATACTACCATTTTTCCTTCTTTCCTCCATGTGAACAGGCATGGCTCATGTAAGTCATTCTCTAATCCAAGTTTCTTAGCCTCTTCTAAGAATCTTAAGAGATCTTAAGAGATGGAATAAGTTCCATCTTTTTGGACTTATCTTTAATCCATACAGAGCTCTATTTAA